GCCATTCGTCTTTTTCAGGACCACAGAGACTTGGGCCATAGTCCTATGCACTGAAATCAGCGGTCTTTCGGGTAAAAATGTAACATTTTTTTGTTGTTACAGTGCAGTGAAGAAAAAAAGTGTTGTGGCACCTTAAACGAATACATTTCGTTTAAGTATTTGTGGTCTATTAGGTTGTTTTGCTTTTTGAGGCGGGAGGAGGTTTCAGCCGAAAGATTTGATAAGGCAATTTTGTAATCGATGCGATGTGAGGTTTCTGTGTTTTGAGAATTAAAAATAGGCTGTTTCCATCGGGGGAAAAACTTTTAATCGAAAATGCTTTAGAAGAAAAGCTGCATCAGCAAGGGACTGGCACTAATTCTTTAGTTAACCCTTTAACCGAGATCGGCATGGGATCTTCCTCGGATTCCGAGGATGTTCATTACAAAAATATCTTTACTCACAGTTCCAAACAGATTTAAACTGCAGCAGTTGACTTGCTTCTTTTCTAGCCAGGTTTGCTTCTGTGCCCTGTTTATTGCTTTTAGGCTGTACACTTACCTGAAAGTAAGCCCCATTGAATTCAGGGTGACTTATTTCTGAGTAGTTGTGTCTAATACCACTGTGTTATTTTCTAAAAAAATAATAATAATAATGAAAGAGCTAGAGCTGAACCTTAGGCATTTGGAGAACAGACTGATCACAGGGTGGGACTTGGAGTTAAAACCAATGTTATCAAAGCTCCACCCCCTTTTCCCTTTCTCATTTCTTGTTTTCAAGAACTCCGGATCCTTGGCTGCGAGCAGGGGTCTTCTTTCTCTCAAACACGTCTGCACACTCATCTCTCCCTTCCACACACATGGCACTTCTGGTTCATTCATGGGACCCCTCCTGCAGGAGCTAGTCTTATTCTGCTTGCTTTCTTGGTCACTGCAGAATGTCCGGTGGAACAGCTCTTCATGCAAAATGGGAGCTCCTACAGTGCAGTTTTTGCAAACAACTGGCAGAAGGACACACTTTGTTCACACATTGCTGGTGTCTTGCTGTCTAACACCTACCCACACACATGCACCACCTTTTCGGGGACATTCTGCATAAGGCAAACATAGATGAGGAAATATACAATTAAAAATAACCATCAGATTGGAACAAGACAAAGGTTTACTCTGAAAGGGGGGTTTGTTTCCTTCTGATCCTGTACGTATCTACCCAAGTTTACTTTAGGGACTTTTAATCCCACTCACACCTACTCAAAAGGAAGTTCTACCAAATTCAGTAGAGGTTACTCTCACATCTCAGCCTCAAAATGCCTTTTAAAGGATAGTGTGACTGGGATGAGAAGAGAAGAAGAGAATATGGAGCATTGTTTTATGTTATTCCCATGTAAGCAAATGACCTCATGTTTGATTTTATTTTGTTCTTTAAAGTAGGACAGGAAAAGACAGGTGCCTGAGGAAAAGATTGTTTTTCCCAAATAAAACCCTTCATAAATTCCAGTGGGAGAACTGAAAAAGGAAGGCAACTGAGACTAAACATTTCCGATAGAGATCACTGGAAGTCCAGAATTCCTATGCCAACACACTTTGTCTTTCAAATAATATCAATAAGTAATAAAATGTACTTATCTCAGAACTGTTTGGAGGAAGACAAGAATTATTTCATATTGTTTTCTATCAAATTATTTCTCCTTCAGGTTAAATATACACTTCTTGAACAATCTCCCTCTCTTTTTCACTTGTTTACAAATCCTTCTCTCACACGCTTTCTCTCCCTCCTCCCTATTATTTTTACTACTATTATTGCCACAAATGTAAAGCTTCTCATCTCTGAAGAATAATGCAGTGCCTTCTTTATCTGAATCCCCAGGAAACTGACCACCTAGGCCACCATCTAGAGAATGTTCCATTCCTTTCAAAGTTAGATGGGGGGGCGGGGGCGGGGGAAGAGACATTTCTATCAATTCGGCTCATGCCAGCCTCACTTAAAAGAACCTTGAGCAATCTGGCCTATTTTTCACTGCTTCCTACGTATTCTGGAGGACCCCACTGAGAACCTCAGACAGGCTGCCCCCAAGAGCTGCTATGGATTGCAGAAGTGCTGTGAGATCTGTGGTTATTTTTAAAACCACAAATGTGAATTCAAAGTCCAGCCTCCTGTTGCCGAAAGCCAGGAGAAACCCAACATTCTGCAGAGTGACGCACGATAATAAATCGAAGTGGAACTTGGGGCCAGTAGCAATAAGGTCCAGGTGCAGGACAGAAGGGCATTGGCTGGCGATGGGAACCAATCCACTGAATTCGGTTCACATGCCATTTCCAATGCCTTCCTTCTCAGCCCTTCCTGTCCAGGTTACTCTAAAATCGATCACCCATAAAGGCATACATCACCGTGACTATGAAAGATCCAAGGGTGCTCTCCGGACATTATCAAATACAGTTATTTGAATAATCCCAGAATTCCACATTTCCCTACAAGAGATTGCATCCTTTTGTTTGTTCTTCAGAGAGCAGCTCTCAGTCTGCAGAGAGGGCAATTAAGCAGATCGATCGATTATTTATGTTGCTTGTTCCTTGTTTTACATTGATAATGAATTTTCAATTTGATCCATTTTGGAGGAAGGAACTTAACCCTCTTAAGGTTTATGCCTCTGCACCTTTGGACACAAAGAGCACTGATTTATTATTGCCCTTTGCTCACAGGCATTTGTTTTTCCACATAGTATGGCTATTGTGTAGGTGTTGCAGTCATTTTATGGGTATTAGGAATTCATAGAGATTTCAGTCCCATTTCAAAAGGAAACCAGCCTAGTTCCAAGTTTATTTGGTGTACTAAAAAGGGAGGCGAGTTAGAACTTTTATGGCTAATTAAATGGCAATGTTCTGAAGATGACTTTGGAAATATGTGGATTTGAATTTAATATGGAGGTCTTTAGTGCATTTTTCTCTTGTTCCGGCAGTCATGCATATCTATTTGGAAGTAGATTGCACTGGTTTCAGTGAGCCCTACTTCCAAAGAAGGGCTTGAAGCCATATTCCTAAGCATAAAGCACGTGTGTAACCTGATCTTTTCCATATATTTACTCTGAAATAAGACTCATCAAGTTGAATAGAGCTTACTCTCAAATAAGTTCACAGAAGAATTCAGTCTGACTTTCAGTTAGGGGGTACTTTGGTATTGCATGTTTTATCCCTCCTCCTCCCCTAACCCCCTACTTTTTCACTGGGTTTCAAACACATCCACTCCAAGTCAACTCCGCTTCCCCCTTCCAGACTCGCCCCGCACGTCGTTTCGGATGAGAGCAAAATCAAAAGCGGAGAGGGAAAAAACGGCAGCAACCCCAAACACTTTAATTTCATCGTCGGTGGTGTTTTGTTCTTGTTTTTAATTTGAAATTTCACCCAGAAACACTGGTCCATAATAATAAATATATCAATAGTTCTCAGGAATATATAAAAAATAAAGAGACATCAGCGTCCGTGAGGCCCTAGCAAAATAAGTTTCCAGCAAGCGCCCGAAGGAGAAGCGGAGGAGAGGCCCAGCCCGAGCGTGCATGCGGGGGGGACGGGCCGGAGGGGGGGCTGCGCCCCGCAGGCGGGAGGCGCGGTCGGCCGGCTCGCAGCGGCGGGCGGGGAAGGCTCCGCGCCGCACGGGCGCCGCGCGCTACTCACGGTGGTCGACGAGGGGGGCGCCGCGCCGGGTCTTCTCCGCATGCAGCAGCGTCCGCACACTTGGCGCTCACAGGCCGCTCCTAACGCCTCGCCCCGAGGACGGCGGCCCGGCCGCTGGCCCCTTATGCTACCCTCGGAGGCTCCAGGTCCCCGCAGCGCCCTCGAGGAGAAGGGACGGCTCGTCGGCAAAGCAGGGGGCGTCGGGGGCCCGCTGCTTGTCCCAGCAGGTTGGGTGAAGAAACCGTGTGCAGTCCGATTCGTGATTCGAATCGAAGCCTAATCGAATTGCCAAACCCCGCCGGAATGGTATTCTTACCATAACCTTATTTCCCCGGGGTGTGGTGGGTTTCCAGGATCAAATGCCCAGTATTTCAGTGTCACGGTTGGTTTATGGATCGGGCTGTTTCTGACCCAACTCTACACATCCGAAAGACAGTTGTTACTCGGAAGTAAGTTTCAATGGACATACCTGATCCAGCTAAAGTTAAGCAATCACATTTGTTTCCGGTTCTCCCCGCTCCCTAAATCAAGGGATCAAACTGGCCGAACTTATGCACTTTTCCTGAGAGTAAGCCCTACGGATTCAATGCTCTTGCTCTGGAGACAGTGTACACAAGATTTCAACTTTTAATAGCGGTGTAATCCCATGCACGCTTACTCAGGAGTAAGTGCGGAGGACTCCGAGGAAAGTGTGCGTAGGATGTGGAGCCTTGACCTTGGCTGGATCGTGCCCACAGCTTGTCAACACGCTTACTTCCAAGCACAGTTTTGGAGATACGCTCCCACCCTCCTAAGTAACAAATTGGTTTGAGCCGCGATGAAATCAGACAAGCGATCGCTTCTGCAGCTCTGAACAAGCACAATGAAGAGAAAGAGAGGGGGACGCGGGAAAGCATGTCTCCCCCACCCCATCCGTTTTAAAGGACGTATATACAGTCTGTTTCCCTCTCCCCCGCCCTCTTTTCTGTCCCGTTGAACCGGTAGGGTTTCAAGAACTACGCGGGGAGGAGAATCATCCAACGCAGCCCCCATCACCCAGGGAAAGCATGTTACTTTGCACGGTCCTTTTTCCCTACACTACCTCCCCCTTTACAACGGATGGATTTTGGGAGCCAGCATCGGACGGGCCCGAGAGAGGCGGCGGGGGGAGCGGGGGACACGGGCAGGGGGCGCGGGGGAAGCATCGCATGCGACCCTTCCCCGGCTTTCGGCGGGCTCGTCTTTCCGGCCCCTTCCCCGTCGCCACCAAGCGTCCTCCCGGCGACGGGGGCTGGGGGGCTGCGCGAGCCCCGCAGGCGCCCCCCTCCGCGCCTGCCTTGGCCACGGGCCCGCCCGGCGGCTTGCGGCGCGGGCTCACTTGAGCAAGTCCTTGGCCTCTGTGGAGAGCCGCGCCAGGCCGGCCGTGCTGCCGAGCGCCGAGAGGTGCGGCGGCGGGGGCATCTGGCAGATGCTGCAGGGGCAGGGCAAGCCGGCCCAGTGCTGGAAGCCGCCGCCGAGCTGCAGCGAGGGCGGCGTCGAGGGCGTCTTGAGCAGCGAGTGGGGCGGCCGGATGGTGCCCAGGCCGGGCAGCGAGGCCGCGAGCGGCGAGGGGCCGTTGGCCGACGACAGGGCGCTGCCCAGGATGGGGTGGACCGGGTGCACGGCGCCGGCGGCGTGCGGCGGGTGGCCGGCGGAGTGGGCCACAGTCCCGCAGTGGAAGGCGGAGTGGTGGCCGCCGTAGATCTCGCCCACCAGCCTCTTCATCTCCTCCAGCGAGCTGGTGAGCATCAGGATGTAGTTGCGCGCCAGCAGCAGCGTGGCGATCTTGGAGAGCTTGCGCACCGACGGCCCGTGCGCGTAGGGCATCACCTCGCGCAGCCCGTCCATGGCCAGGTTGAGGTCGTGCATGCGCTTGCGCTCGCGCCCGTTGATCTTCAGCCGCAGCTGCTGCAGGTCCTGCTCCGAGAGCTGCTTCTTGATCTTGTACTTGCTGCTCTCGCCCGGCGAGCCCTTGGAGCCGCTCCGCGAGAGGCCGCCGCCGCCGCCGCCGTCGCCCGACGAGCCCTTGGCGCCCACCTCGCTCTGCGTGGAGGACACCGAGTGGTGGTGGTGGTGGTGGTGATGGTGGTGGTGGTACATCTCGTCCATGTCTGGCGAGGACGCTCGGCTGGACGCGGAGCTGGAGTCAGAATTCATGATCTGGCCCGCGGGGAGGCGGAGGAAAGGCAGGAGAGGGCCGCCCCGCTCGGGGAAGGAGGAGGAGGAGGAGGAGGAAGAGGAGGAGGGCAGGGGAGCCACCGGCCAAGGGGCAGCCACCTTTAGCCGAGGAGGAGGAGGAGGAGGAGGAGGAGGAGAGCCCGAGAGGGAAACCCCCCGCCGCCGCCTCCCTTCCCCTTCTGGCTCTCGCTCGCTCCCTCTCCTTTCCCCTCCAGGAGAGCGGAGCGCTGCGCGTCGGTCTGTCCGTCGGTCCGTGTGCAGTGGGCGCCTCTGAGCCTTGATCTCAGCTCGCCTCCGGAGAAGAGGGGCTTTTATAGAGCCGCAGGCAAGCCGAGAGACAAAAGGAGCCCTCCTATCTCGAAAGGGGGCTTGTTAGAGGATGACGCGCCATTGATGCAGGGCGGCGCGCTTTGACGGCCCTATTTAGCCAGGAGCCCCATTCATCGGTATTGTGGCGCCGCCCGGGGACACCTCGGCCGCCGACCCTCCGGAGGAGACCCCCTGCCCTCTCCCCCGCCCCGCCGCCGCTGATTGACAGCGCGCCCAGCCCGCGCTTCGCCTCCGCCCCTCCTCCTCCTCTTCCTAGTCCGGAGAAGCCTCGATGCTCGCGGCTCAAGTTGGGGCGAGGGTGCGCGAGGGGAGGCAGTTTCTTCCTTTCACCGCCCCGCGGAAAGCGCATCCTGTGCATCTGAGCCAGGCAAGCCGGGCTGGGGGAAAGACACAGGCAGAGCCGACGTGAAACTTCGAAAGTAGAGAGCCCAGAGGGCGCAGCCGGTGCCTTGCGGCAGGGACATCAGTGCGGCTTCGGGCGTCGGCTGAGCTGGGAGCCAGACGCTTCCTAAGGCTGCCGTCATCCGCGCGTTTACCGCGGAGCAAGTCTACCCTTGAACTCGCTGAGCCCGAGTCCTCAGGAAGCGTGTGAGAGAGGGACGGCTGGCTCTTTGGCTGCCACTAGCCTGAAGGAGCTTCAGAGCGGGTTCCCATGAAGTTTAGGGGAGCAGCAGGGGGGCTGCGCAGTCCCCTTCTCGAACCAGTTGGCCTCGTCAGCTCTGGATTTTAAGGCTCTTGACAATCTAGTTGAGTCAATGCCGCACTGGCTTGGGGTGCGAGTCTCTGGATCCCCCCCCCCCAGGCCAGGTTAGCTTAGCTTGAAAAGAGGGGAAAGGGGGCATTGATTTCGACAGTGTTATTTCGATCGACTTCGTTTTGATCTTACTGTCCTCTCAAGTTTGCCTACTGCTGTTTGAGTTAGTTGGTTTGCTCCCATAAACTTCATGAGAATAAAGGGACACCAGTGGTGTCTCCCCAGTTCATCATACCTTCTCTGCCTATTAAATTTAGTGAAGCTGTTTTGATTGAAATGGGTTGTGTGTTACTCCCTATAATTGGGTTCAAACCGAGGCATGTCTGGGGTTAACTGTTTTCCACAGACCGGACAGTTCAGACAATATGGTGTGAATGCTTTGGTTTATCATCTAAAAAGAGGCCCGGCCCTTCCCTTCCCTCCCCTCCCTCCCTCTCCCCTTGAATAACTCACTTTTTCATCATTTACCTCTATTCCCCATCTCCCATTTTATGATGCAAAAATCAACCAGCTGTTTGCAGGGTTTCCTTTCCCCACATTTTGCACTTGATGGGCACTACAGCGTAGATAAAGAAGCAGGGGCACACCACAAAGCCCAATTTGTGAGGGAGAGCGCCTCAGCTATTAGGTGGTATAGAACTGAAATAAATATTTGCGGGGGGGGGGTTCTTTCTCAGATACTCTGAAAAACATCCTTGGACATGTCTTTGTGAATATAGTTCCTTTTCTCATGTCTTGATATACAGGCCAATTCTGAAACGTATTTATGGGGAAAGCAAAGCAAGAACTTATGAAGAGGATTGCACTGGTATATTTTTGAAATTTCCCCATCTTTGCTTGGCCATTTGATCTTTAAACACACTGACTTGACTTTTGGTTTCTACTGATTGCCACCAATTGCGTGAGTGTGATTAGGTCTCATTACCTGGCAATAAACTGGGAAATAACTTCCAAATGGACATGTGTTCAGATCACTGCTTGAGTCTGAGGGATTAAGGCTTATGCCTATCCTTGAACAGCAGATAGACCTTGTCCATCCCCTCCTCTTGCCTTGAATGTGGTAGGGTCACACAATCGTGTGAAAAAGGCTTCATTGGTGCATTATAAATGGGAGCGCTCTCTCCCTGTATGTGTGGATGTGAACCACTGACCCCAAGGACGCAAAAGGAAACTGCCGCATAGGTCACCACAGGAGGCAACATCTTGCAAAGCCAAGCCAGTAGAGGAGCAATTGCAGGGCCCAATTACATACTCCTTGCCAGGAAAAGCCTGAAAGGTGGTCATTCTGCAAAGGCCCAAAGATCTGGAAAACCTGGATCCTGCATACTCAGAGCTAAGACCCAACGAAGGATGCAAGTTGCACACTTCCGTACAAGCCCGGCGCGCTGCTTCCAGTCCCACGTGCGCTGACCGAGAACAAGCCTCATTGGACGCTGCGGCGTATTTCCCGATAAACGGGGGAAGGCCTGAGCTGGGGGCACTCATTTTCTAAAAGCTTTCTTCCAAAAGGAAGCCCCGCTTATCCAGTAGGGCTTAGCTCCACTTCAGCGTAAGAGCTACAACCCTACAGCCCAGTCTCTAAGTTTACTTGAAAATATGTTTACTTGAAAATATCTCTAAATTTACTTGAAAATATGGATTGTATGCGGTGTAAACGCAATTCATTTCGAGGGCTCTGCTCGAAGTGGAGGCACATTCCCCTCCGTGGTTGAGGGTGCTGTCGGTTGCCCAAACGGAATGCCAGCATTAATACGGAGCCGATAGCAGGGCCTCCCTCTTAGCGGAGGCGCACGGCGCCAGCGCTGGCCCCCAGCCTTGGGCGCTACCCCTGGATCGCCCGGAGCTGTTAGTCGTTCCCTCGCAATCACTCGGAGTAATTCGCACGTGCGCGTGAGTAAGAGAATGAGTTCTAGGAGATCGAGTGGCCTCTGGCAACCGGCTCTGTGGGTGAGGCTGGGCAGGAGGCCGTGCGAGTCGCGTCGCTTACGAGCAGGGAGCTGGCGGAGGGCAGGTGAGAAGCAGCGACCTAGCACGCCCCGCAGCAATAGATGCGCCGTTCACGCTGCGGACGAGCGGCCGGCAGCGCGGATCGCCTCGGAGCGGCGCTCGGGGGCAGAGGCCCGGCGCTGGAGGACGAAGAGGCGCGCCCGCCGCCTCCGCGAGGGGGCTGCCCCAGCGGAAGGACGCGCGACCCCCGCCCCGGGGACCGCTCGAAGGCCCCGGCGGAGCGCCTGGCAAGCGGCCTGGGGGCCCTTCGCCGAGGGACCCGCGGCGCACGGACGGCGAGCACCCGCTCCAGAGCGGACCGGAGCGGTGCCTAGCCTTGCTCGGGGGCCCCCGCGATGCACGCACGCACGCACGCTCTGGTCATGTGAACGCGGCGTTCCGGAAGCGCCGGGCAGGCCCAGCAGGCGCGCCGAGGGGTCGCACGTGGGCGCTCGCCGAGGCGCACGCACCTGCGCGTCGAGGGAAGGCGAGGGGCGGCTGGCGGAAAGGTGATGGGAGGCGGCTAACATCTCTTCGCCGCCCCTCAGGAAAAGCAGTTGCAGCTGGCAGGGGGGGGGTCTCTCTCCCGCAGAGCTCTATGAGGAAATGTTTTAAAGCATCGTGCAGGTTTTATGCATTTCTAATCAAAGAAAGGAAGCGAGAAAGAAAGAGTATTTTTCTGTTTTGCGTTTGGAAAGAGGCAGAATCGGAAAGACACCCTGAAACCAAAAAAAAAAACCCTGTTTGAAGAATAAGAGAATCGCACAGGACGGGCAGTTTCTTCGCTGCCCCAGACAAGCCGGGCCAATTTGCAGAAGTTCGCTTTCCCCCTTTTCTTTGCCTGGTACCGTTCACTCCAGAGGGCTGCATAGCATTTGTTCGACCGACGTTCATCTTAATGGGGTCTCCTCAGAAGTCAAGGGCTCGATGCTACGCACACGTCCTGGGAGAAAGCCTCTGAACTGCGCGAGGCTTGCTTCTGAGTAGACGTAGACACGTACAGGCCAGTGTTAGGACAGCGCGCACAGGCCCTCCGAGGAGAGGCGGCGGCGTGGCTGGCGGCCAACCTCTCCTGCCGGAGGCCCCCGTGGGAGGGACGCTTCCCTGCGTTTCGAAAACCTCCAGCGCTGTGTCGGACGTCTCATGGGAGCAATCGCTGCAAGGGAAGTTCGCCGATTGGATCGCAAGCTCCGATCAGCTCGATCCAAAGCCTACTTAAATGGGCCGAGTCAGAAGTAAGTCCCGCTGATTGTAAGGGGACTTCCTTACGAGTCCGTCAGCTTACCTTAGCTGAGAGAATGGTGTTCTCTCTCTTTCTCATCACTCTTTCATAGGAAGGAAGGAATCACTTTCATCCTATTCGCACCCTTCCTTTTTCACTGCAGTCAGCGGGGTTTGCCTTCCAAGTAAAGACCTTCCTGGCGGGATTTATTTATTTCTTTGTCAGGATCAAGACGAAAGCCTGCCCGGTCTCTTTGGATGTCGCAAGAAAATGGCAACGACCTGGCAAGCTTGCGAGAGAATTTACTCAGTCCTGACGATCAGATCGGATCCCCGCACCATTGCATCATCTGGGGTCCGTGTCCACCGAGCGGCCGCTCCCCTTCTGAACAGGGCTTGCTTTCTCGGCTGCCCCTCGCCCTTCGCCGCCCCCCTTCCCCCGTGTCTTTTCGCCAGAGAAGCGAGCCCTTTCCAGGCACGAGGGTCTATGAAAGCATCTGCGGCGACCGAGAACAAACGGCTCAGTCCAGCCCCTCCACTAATGACCTTCTGTGGGGAGACGGGGAGGCGGTGGGTGAGGTCTGTAGAGGGAAAGTGTCGCAGCAGAGCACGGAGGAGGGAAGAGGTCCCCCCGCCCCCCCACTTCTCCAGAGAAACAGCCTAGTCTGGGGAAAGGAAGGGGGATTAG